GATGATGACGATGATGATGATGACGATGACGATGACGATGACGATGACGATGACGATGACGATGACGATGATGATGATGATGGAGATGATGATGATGATGATGATGATGATGATGGTGATGATGATGATGATGAAACGCATGCTGAAGATGGTGGAGTCCTGAAGTGCAATGGTTTCGTCGCAGGCTGCGGAAGGAGCAGGAGTGAAATTTCTCTACTCAACGGAGGCAAGAGACTTTCGAACGATCTTCCTCCCTTACTTGACTCAGGTCTCGCGGATTGAGGTGGAGGGGAACAGAGTGACAGGTCGGTCAATGTGCTTCAGCTCCAGCATCGCTCACCTGGTCTCAGGGGTGCGGACGAAAGACGGAGGGCTGCTGGAAGCAGATGTTGTAGTGGCCAACGCAGACCTCCCGTATGTCTACCAGAACCTATTGCCAGGTCCGCTGATGGGGGGAGGGGGAAGGGAGAGGAGATGGAAGGGAAGGGAGAGGAGAGGAGAGGAGAGGAGAAGAGAAGAGATGTGAAGAGGGAGGGGAGGGCAGGGGAGGGCAGGGAGGGGTTGAGTGAGGAAATCAACATCGGTGGGGAATGAGAAGATGACAGAAAAGAATCAGGAGATGAGAGCAGATCTGAAGAGGAGGGAGGAGATAGTTCTTTGATTTACATGTCATTCCAGATAAAAAGATGGGAGAGAAATTTTCACATCTCAAGTATACTTCATCAGCGATCATGTTCTATTGGGGGGTAAGGAAATTTATCAAACCTACCATCCCACCTCCTCTCTCTACTTTTCTTCTCTGTTTGGCCCCTTCCTTTTTTCCTCATCTTTTCTTTCTCCTCCCTTTTTTCTTGTTTGTCGTCTATCAGCCGTCCGACTATGACGCTGTCTTCTCTCTTCTTCTCCCGCTTCTCCTCTTCCTCTCAGCTTTTCCACATCTAAACATCTGAACATCTTCATCTTGCAGATGGACAAGCAGTTCACCGAGCTCTCTGTACATAACATGTTCCTTGCCAAGGTCCTCCCTCCCTCCCTCCCTCCCTTCTCCATCTCAACACTTGGTCGTTGCTTATTGTCTCCAACAGAATTTTCGAAGTTCCTTTGATGACATCTTCAAGAGGTTTGTCAAGACCATTACGTTTGAATCCTCCCCCTGTTTCTTGCTCTCCTCCCTTCCTCCCCGCCCCTCGTCGTCGTCCTCCTCCCTCCCTCCCTCCCTCCCTCCCTCATCGCGGTATTTTTGCAGGTTCACTCTGCCCGAAGAGCCCTCCTTCTACATCCACGTCCCCTCCCGCATCGATCCGACAGCTGCTCCTCCGAACCAGGTGGAGGAGGAAGACAGAGAGTGGAAGGCAAATGAAGGGAGCAAGGGGAGAGAGGACGAGGCGATGAGGATGAGGATGAGGATAGGGGGTCGGGAGCAGGGAGAGGGGCTGAGGATGAGCAGAAGGAGAGGAGGCAAGAAGGAAGGTACAGGAGGGAGGAGTAGTATTGACTCACAGTCGTTGTCAGGACACGTTCATGGTGCTGGTTCCGTGCGGGCACATCGAGGTAGGAAGATCAAGTTTCTGTGCGAGCTGAAGAGAGAGCAGGAGGCGAAGGATCAGCAGTGGGATGAACTGATTGCTCGAGCTCGAGCAGCAGGTAGGAGGAGGAGGTGGTGGTGTTGGCCGGGGGAGGGGGGGGGGGGGGTAAGGATGAGGGATGCGTGATCAGGAAGGAAGAGTAGGAACAGGTTATACTGACTGATCTTGCAGTCTTACGGAAGTTGAAGGAAGAAGTCAAGCTCGAGAGCATAGAGGAGCATATCAAATTCGAAGAGATCATCTCCCCTGCGGTCAGCCCTCCGCTTCTTCCTTCCCCTTTGTCTCCTCCCCACACCCTACCCTTTCTCTACCTCTGCCTCTACCTCCCCCACCCTCTGACCCTCTCCCACTCTCTCCCTCCCTCTGTCTCCTTATCTCTCCTCCTCTCTTTCTTCCTTCAATTCCTCTGCTCTTCAGCGTTTGACAGCTCTGCAGATATGGAAGGACAAATTCAATCTCGCCAAGGGCTCCTGCTTTGGCCTCAGTCACACTTTCACGTTAGATCAGCTCCTCCTCCGCCCCCGCCTCTTCCTCCTCCTCCTCCTCGTCATAATTGTCATCGTCATCATCGTCATCATCGTCATCATCATCATCAACTCCACCACCACCACCACCTCCTCCTCCTCCTCCTCCTCCTCCTCCTTTCGTCTTCACTGCTCATTTCCTCGCAGGCAACTAGGGTACCTCCGCCCTCAGAACCAGCACGACACCCTCCGCAATCTTTTCTTCACAGGATGCAGCACGTGAGTCAGCAGCGAGGGGAACGAGAAGTGTAGGAGGAGGAGGAGGAGGAGGAGAGGAGGAGGAGGAGGAGGAGGAGGAGGAGGAGGAGAGGAGGAGAAGGAGGAGGAGGAGGAGGAGGAGGAGGAGGACGAGAGCAGCGTGCGCAAGGAGGCAGCAAGAGGAGGGGATTGGAAAGAAGAAGCGAGAGAGAGAGATGAAAGTGCAAGAGGATAAGGAGTGGGGGCAGAATGTTGGGAGGGGGCGGTGGAGGGAGCAGAAACAGCACAGCAGGAGGAAAGAGGCAGGAGGGGTGCTGCAGCAGCAGCAGCAGCAGCAGCAGCAGCAGCAGCAGCAGCAGCAGCAGCAGCAGCAGCAGCAGCAGCAGCAGCAGCAGCAGCAGCAGCAGCAGCAGCAGCAGCAGCAGCAGCAGCAGCAGCAGCAGCAGCAGCAGCAGCAGCAGCAGCAGCAGCAGCAGCAGCAGCAGCAGCAGCAGCAGCAGCAGCAGCAGCAGCAGCAGCAGCAGCAGCAGCAGCAGCAGCAGCAGCAGCAGCAGCAGCAGCAGCAGCGGCGGCGGCGGCGGCGGCGGCGGCAGCAATGGATCTTCTCCTTATTCTTCCGCAGACATCCAGGGTCCGGCCTGCCAAACGTGCTTGTTTCTGCTCGGCTGTGCGTGGAGAGGATTCTGATGCAGGAGGCTGGATACCCCACGACCGATCCCTTCTCCTCCTCTACCTCGCTCCTCCTCCTCCTCCTTTGGACTGTCCTCCTCCTCCTCCTCCTCCGAGCTCAATACCCCTTGACCTATGGCGGCTTTCACTTCCTGTTCACCCTGCCTCCTGCTCTCGCGATGGTCATGAACCTGTTGAAGAGGTCGAGAAGCAGCTCGAACAAGGTTCCTCCTCCTCCTCGTTCTCCTCCTCGTTCTCCTCCTCCTATCGTGAATGGAACCCCCCCCATCTCCATCCGCATCTTCATCTCCATCATCATCATCATCATCAGTCATCCTCAT